CTGTGTGTGTCTCTGTGTTTCCTTATTATTTGGCCTGGTCTGAACATGTCCCTTCCCTCTCTCTGCTGCTCTCCTTCTGCATCTCTCCGCCTTTCACAGGCAGCTGAATGATAAGAATGTTAAACATTTTCAGAGTCGAGCACGCCCATCAACGGCTCTGCAACAGACCTGCTAGTAGAAGAAATGCATGAACGCACAAAACACACACGCATGCACAGCTAATGCATGCATGTGCACAGGCACTTAAAACCTCACCCTGACTTTGACTATAACTCCCCATGAGAGTATGTGTGGTTCTGTGCGTGTGTGCATCTGTATGCATCTGTGTGTTTGAACGTACATGTGTCCTGTGTTGTTCTCCAGGTGAAGGATTGATGGATCGGGGCCGGCCTGTCGCTCTGTGTTTTTCCTGAAAGGACACACAGTGTTTGAGTTAATGTTTGAACACAAGCGACTCACTGTGAATGCATTAAAGCCAGAGCTGGTCCCAGTCTGGTGACTAGTCCTTCATCACAGACAGGCCTCTGATGAATTTACAAGTCAATGCTACAGGTAAAAGCAGATTCATTATGATGTGACAGGCTTCACCGGGTGTTTGCATATATTTGTGAAGCCTGTGTTTATGTTTGTATCCACACAGCAGATACAAATAAAGTTATCATCACTTATGATGCTTTAAAGGGATAGTTCACCAAAAACTGATGGTGTAATCGACCTTCTTTGAAGTCAAATTTGAATGTTTGGGCTTACAGACACTTGGATGACACCACAGGAGCAGTATGGAAGCATTTTATGTGTTTTTTCCTGTAGTTTTTTTTGTTTGAATTGGTCACCAGTTACTTCAATTCTACTGGATCTGGCTGCAGCACTGTTCACCCCTGAAACTCTAAAAGTGTTTTGTGGACTCAAACACTTCTCCCACCCCTCCACCGGAACAGTGGTGAGGAGTTAATGAGTGAATCTTCATTTTTGGGTGAACTATCCCTTTAGACACATATCAAGACTTGTGTAACTCAGCCTCATCTGTATGACTGAACAAGAAACAAGAAACAAACACACACTATCGAGGGTAAAACTGTGACAGCCTTTAGATTTAATGAATAACCAGGGGCCTGGCTCTGAGGATCCGTGTTCTCTGACAGCTCCAGTCGATCATAAACTCTGCTGTGATTTCTCTGCACTTTGAGCCGCAGCGCGAACAAGGAACCTGTTGACAGGCTGAACTTTCCTGCAGCTACACCCAGGAGGAGGAACTCAGCCCGGGCAGAGTCTGCTCCACACACGGCGCTCCTCGAAACTTGGCAAAGTTGACAGTTTTCTGTTTGGTCGTGTTTGGGGAAGAAAAGGTGTGAATGTGTATAAAAAGAGAAGAGTGTACCTCGGTCGTCCCGCTTCAGAGACGGATCACACCTCGAGCCGGGGCGCGTCGGAGGATCCAGGTAGAGTCAGGAGGTAAATATCCGGGACAAGTTTCATCCCTGCCTGCGCTGCTCACTGCGCGGCCCCGCCCCTCCGCCGCGCGCGCTCCCGTCGCCATGCGCGCACTCCACTACAGCTGAAGAATATGCAGCCCACAGAAGTACTCAAGAAGTACTCAAGAAGTACTACCCTGTATCAGTACAGGGTCCGAAGTAAAAGTAAGCGTAAATACCCTAAAAGTAAATGTAAGTAAAAAAATATACCCTGCAGTTTAAAGTAAGTAAAAACCCTAAAAGTTAAAGTAAGTTAAAGAAAAAAACTAGAGTAAAATTAAGCAAAAACTTATCCTGAAAGTAAGTAAAAAAAAACTATAATTAAAAGTAAGTAAAACCCCTTAAATTATGTTAAAAAGATCATAAAAGTCAATAAAAAAAACCTGAAAGTCAATAAAAAAATGCTAAAAATAAAAGTAATACAAAATAACTACAATTAAATTAAATTTAAAAGATGTTAAAAGAATAAGTGAGTAAGTAAGTTAGTATGCTCTTCTTTTTTGTCTATATCTCTTCATATATATATCATATATATATATATTAATATGTATTTAAACGAGTATTATTATTATTGTTGTTGTTGCTGTTGTTTTTTTTCTTGTCTATATCAGTCTGGGATGTTGGGCTGGTAGAGGACGTGGACATATAAAGGGGTTGTGGTAAAGCTGAGAGATACCTTCTTTTTTCCTTTCTTTCTCTCTCCTTGGGCTGGGCAATATGACCAAAAATGATATCAAGATCTGAATAGTAATATGAAGATAATAAATCCTAACAGAAGGAAGAAGAAGAAAAAATACAAAGGTCAGTTCCTCTGGTTTGCTGTCACCATCTACAGGACAGATGAAGTACTGCTGCTGATGTGTGAGTATTCAGCACAGAAAATCTACTTATAAAATTGAGCCATGTCTGAAATAGTTTTTATCAATTCTGCATTTTAAATGACCCCAGATTTCTGATTATATGGAGACGAGTGTGAAAAAACTTGGCTCCAGTTTTCAGACATCACTGATTAAAAGGTTAATGCTGAATAAAAAGAGGGAAATGAGTTTGGTGTTTAAAGAAAGCGATGTGGGAAATAGCGGATGAAAGCTGGTGAGGATGGGTTTTTTTTTTCAAATTGAGGCCAGAGTGTGCTATGGGCTTTGGGGAAAGTTTGGTTCAACCTATCCTCCAGTTACACCTTCTATAGGACTGTGTGCCACATAAAAAATGGGCCACATACAAACAGGATGCAGCCTCAGTGGGCTCTGTACCACCTTCATTCATTCGTTACCACACATCTAAAAATATCTGAAAAGTACATGCATACATCTGCAGTGGTTATCAGTGTAACATCAATTTAAACATTTCTGCACAATTTGCTTTAAGTGAACAGTTAACAGTTAAATGACATTATTTCGCTGATGTTATTACTGTTATTATTTCTGAATCTTTAATCGTTTAACTTGGGGCCCTTATACACTGATATTTGATTTTTCATTCATTTCATTCTTCTCATTATAAAACATGAACAAACTGTATTTTTATTTGAAGAATTGGGGTGAATTACTTACCAAAAATGTGATGCAACATAAAAGCAGAACAGTTAAACTTAGAAATGAAATATCCATATCAGTTTGTACACAAAGCCTCAGTATTAACACTGAAAACAGAAGAGAAGAACCTACAATCACCTTCAAACTGATTCACTGGTCATTGGTCACATTCTGTCAAATTCAAAAGAAAATCCATTTAACAAATAGTGATCTTATTTGTTCATATATGCATAGTTTATTAAAGATTAAACCAGTGGTGTCTAACCTTTTAAGCATGTGACCCCTTAAAATACATTGGCTGTATCTCTATTTTTCTGATCTGAGTTTTTCATAGGGTTTGAAACGATATATATAAATTCCATTTGCTAAAAATAAATAATACATTTGTGTGGTAGAATGTTTTCTTCCTTTCCTCTCCCATTAATGATTTCATAAGCCATAAGGGCACTGGACTAAATGATCCAATGGTAAAATGCTTCTTACACACACATCTAATAATATCACACATACAGTCGCTGAGGCCAGTATTCTAGGAGTACTCATACTTTTGTTACTAATACCAGTGTTAATTGGTTGTACTTCTAACATGTTATTTTACTTAAGTAGGATCTCAAATACAGGAGTAGTTTAACTCTACATGTTATACTAATGTACTGGTACTTTAACTACTACTTCTTCCACCACTGGTAGATCTGACAGTTGAAACCAGTGTTCAGCGTCACCTGTTGCACGTCCCCCACAGATAATGCAAAACCAGCCACAGCCAGTTTGCATGCAGGTCAGGGTAATGAGGCTAGAGGCTGTAGTCTTGTCAGTCAGACTAGCAGAGACCGGTTCACTTTGGGTTGACACCAACCATACACCCCCCCACACCCACAGCCGCTGTGACAGAGAGGAACCTCCCCCTGTTGCTGTCTGAGGATCAGCTTTCTGGAACAGTAACCAAGACACCTCGTACTCTCACTCTCCAAATTTAGACACCCATGACACAAGGACCAACCTGGCGTTATTTCAGTATCTGCACCTCGTGTTCCATTTATCTGAATCTCAACCTCTTATTCTCATATCACACTGAAGTCCTCTGCCACGTCACTTTTGCTCATTTCCAGTTTAAAATAATATTTCCTGTTAAACATTTTGTTCTCATTTTATCTCGGGTCAAAGCCCAGTCTCTCCTCTAATCGCTCCTATGTGAGTATAATTTATCTACTGATGCACAAGATACATTTTAATCTGCTTCATCCCTCTCTGAAAAACTTGTTGACCACCTACTGTGCCAGAGAGACTTAGGACAGCTTCTCCTTCTATGTCCACTCATTATATAATCACTAGTTGATACTGAGCCGTTCTTATGTAATTCAGTCCCCCACCAGAGAGTCTTAGCTTTCACAATGTCAGAGAATAACAGGAGTGTATGAACAGCTGTGATATAAAACAATGAGCCCCTATAGCTGCATGGGAATTGGTGCAGGAGTGTGGTCATATATCACAAGCATAAAACTGGGTCTGCCATGGTGTGGACAGGCCGTGCCAATTCTCAGGCGTGCAACAGCCACATGAGACATGAAGACAGATGTATGGAGTTGTCATATGCCGGTATGCTGCATGTGTGTTGCAAAACCCCTCTGGTAAAAATGGTACTGACTCTCATGTGAGCTGGTGTGTGAGTGAAATGACCCTAAAAGTGATCTGAACCAATCTGTGAATGTGCCCTCGATTCCAATTATCTCTTGATATACATACATGACACATGGCCTAACACACACACAACCACATGCACACATCAACTCAGCACCTGTCCCACTATCAGTCTTGCCACACACTCACAGGTCGTATGCCGGCCTCCCTCAAACCACCTGTGACTGGAATGTGTGAGCAGAAACCCATACCTGTAATATAGAGGCCTATGGAAACATACAGATAGAAATAAAGAAGGGTGTGTTTCAAAGCCATAAAAATAAGTTACCTCCAGAAGTAAGTTAACTGGGTTACTATGTCGATGGGACACTGTCAGCTCATCATGAGGGCCTGGATCATCCAGCATGAGCTCGGTATGCTGCCTTCACGTGCCAGGAACTTGCTGTGCACTCAGGGACCCAACACCTATCGCCCTCCCATTTATCTCCTTTGACTGCAAAAAAGTGACACGTAATAGCCCAACTCCTTTTGCAGGCATCTCACAGCCTGCTTTGCCTTTCAAGCTCTGGCCTGCTAACAGACTACACTTCAGTGGTTCATGTCAGTGGGTAGAAGTTGATTTCTATGTCTTAAGTATATACTTATATAGTATACTATATACTTTTCACAATAAGTGAATAATATACCAGCAATAAAAAGTCAATCAATGAACTGTAAATAATAAAGAGAAAAAAGACAATACTTTGGTTGGGTAAGTGATTGCTGTGTGT